GCATTATCAGCACAGTAGCAGTGGTGTGATGAATGCAGGAGCACTTGGAGATGTCGGCACCGTGCGCGCGTGTGTATCCTCGAGGGAATCAAGAATCTCAACGACGTCAAATGAGAGCCTGCACAATGGAAGATGGAGTTGTAGCAAAGGGGGTTTGAGGGTATCGGGACAAGAACGAGACAGCATTGAGCAGGCTGGACGTGTGAGCGCTTACATACATACAGATACACGCACACACATATGCACATTGCGAGAACAACCACCACGCAGGACCCATACAGGTATGTGCAGTTGTGCTCGCTTGCACGCACGTACAGTTTGGTGCGCATTGTGTTTGCGCGCGTGATGCCGAGGAGGTAATCCTGCCAGATGTGCACACCAAAAGACGCCATGAGCGGCGGTAATGACAAAGGAAGTGTGAAACAGGCGTGGCCATGGCGACATCGCAATCAAATCGTGCTGACATCACAGGACGGGAGGGAATTGGGGGGGGGGGGGTAATGACACCATCAATGCATGCAAGCAAGCACTGCACGCACTGCAGGCACGCACGTTGTGTGTGGTGCGCTTGAACTCGAATGCTGTTTCCTCCTTCAGTCCCGCCCTGTCCGTCTTTCCGCTCGACGCCTGTGCACGATCAACATTCTTCCGCGCAACCTGCACGTGGGGAAGGAGAGGGAGAGAGAGGGGGAGGAGGGGGATGAAAATCAGCGAAAGAGGCAGACTGAGAAGAAAGCTGGTTGAGAAAGCTTGCGGGAACTAGCAGATGGATGACAAATGTGCGCACATACACATGTGCACGCACGCCAACACTTGGGATCACGGGGAATGGATGAGAGAGAATGCGTTGTTGTGCAGTCACTGTCATCAATACCAGCAGCGCGTGCATGGCGCCGTCGTTTGCTTTCTTCAGCTGCAGCAGGTCTTTATCCGCACTACCACGACGCATGGGGAGGGGGACGGTAAGAATTGAGAGGCAGTGATGGAGCAGCAAAGGAAGCACACACACACACACACACACACACACACACACACACACACACACACACACACACACACACACACACACACACACACACACACACACACACACGCACGCACGCACGCACGCACACACACACACACACACACACACACACACACGCACGCACACCAACACACAACTCACGCTGCGAGCTCCTTGTCGAGTTCGGCGCGCTGTTGAAGCAACAGCTTGATTGCTTCCTCTCGTCCCTTCAGGGACTGTGTCATGGCCTGCGACGCCGGCGGCAACGCACAATAACACAGGACAACAGGACAAGGATGAGAAGGGGTGAAAGCATGGAAGAGGTCGTCTCATGTTTGGTTCATTACGCCCCAACACATATGCACACACATGCACACACATGCATACGTACATTGGCAACGTCCAGCAGGCTGTCTGCATATTGGCCGTATTCGAGTGCTTCCTTTTCGGCACCGCTGCGCACACGCTCGCGGCAAGCGAAAGGGTCAGTAGATGTGAAGAAAGAAAGAGACGACGGCGCTAAGCTTGCATATCAAAAGGAAGGAACCCAACGTTGAATAATCGCCCCACCACCAGCGAGCACCCGTGCTTGTGGACCAAGCACTTCCACCACGAATCTCACCCAAGCACAGTGTCGCAGGCTCGCATGAGCGGGCTCAGTTCATTCAGCTGCCAGTTGGCCTGATCTTTTGCCTCAGACAGCCGTTTTCGTGCCTGGGAATCGTGTGTTGCCAACCCATCATTTCACGGATGAGCACACACGGAAGCAGGGGAGGGATGTGCTGGACAAACGATCATCACACATGCACAGCGAATCGGAGAACGGAGGGGGGGGGAGGGGAGAAGGACATCAAAGGGCTCCATTGACACACGCGTATGGCAAGCATTCCTTCCACACGACCTGCAGGGCGAGTGCTTGGCACTGCTTCTGGTACGCAACATGGGCTTTGGCCTTCTCCAGCAGGAAGTTGGACACTGTGGATTGAGAGCGCAGGGAGAGGATCATGTGAGGGCAGGGAGAGGAAGGGTGCAATCACAAGCGTTGGAAGCACACCATGACCCAACAACAAGGACACCCCCTCGCACACACACGCACACACACGCACACGCACACACACACACACACACACACACACACACACACACACACACACACAATGCACATAACGCAGACACGCACTCAGCTGGCCAACGTCGACGGTTTGCTTGAGGTAGGCCTCAACAACAGCCTCATCTTCAGGGCTGCGGACGTGCCGCAGGTGCTCATGCATCGTCGGTGGAAGCAAGGGAAGGAAGGACTGTTGTGTCGCGCACACTCACTCTTCCTCCAAACCAAACAAGCAAAAGCAGCGGTTATTTGGCAGTTTAATGAATGTATTCGATTCGATGGTCAGATAAGGGTTCAGTGCTGGCTGTGGATGTTTTCGTGTGGAAGCCCGAGACCAGCGATGCTTGCCTGCTTCAACTCCTGCACCACCTTGGCAGCCGCATGCCGCGTCGCGTCTGCGTCGTGTTGTTGTGTTGTGTATGTGTGTGGTGGAACATGGGATGTGAGGGGAGCAATAGCAAATGCTGCAAATGTTGTCACACACCAACCACCACATCATTACAGCCACCACCACTACCACCACTACAACAACAACAACTTAAACAACAACAACAACAACAACAACTTAAACAACAACAACAACTTAAACAACAACAACAACTGAAACAACAACTTAAACAACAACAACAACTTAAACAACAACAACAACTGAAACAACAACTTAAACAACAACAACAACAACCACTTAAACAACAACAACAACAACAAC